ATAATGTTTAAAATAATGTTTATAAACCAATTATAATTAAGTTGCTTAAACAACTATAAACAAAACAGCATCATGCAGGGCTTAACGTTCTCCGGCACCGTGCCGGATCTCCGGCGTGCAGCGTTTGGCTGCGGAAAAAAAGAATCCTACATTTAAAAAAAACTTGTTGATATCACTTTCGAGTCCATGACTTTCACTCAGCTTTCACTCTCAACTAAACTAACATTACCAGCCAATCAGAATGTTTTGCTCTTATAAACACGAGACGCGCATAATAGTATCCAACTGCAGAGTCACAGCCCTGATGAATGGAGAAGCTGCGTTGAAAAAGCTGCGAGGCGCAATGTTCAAAGATGTCCATCTAGTGCATATTTACATAGAAAAACTAATTAAAAAGCAGCAGAGCTTTATAAACAGCTCAGAGTAATCACGTCATCTCCATAAGTACGATATGATTGCCAAAACAAATTTACCAGGATTTTTAAAAAGATCCTGTTCACACATGACATAATCTCTTAATGGTAACTTACTGGTAAAGACTAAAGGATAAACTCTTCCTCTGTATATGCTGTGAATTTGAATTGCTTAACGTTCAGTTGCATGTTTTGCATGTGCTGCCCCATCCCCTCCCCTCCCCTGGAAAAATGCTCAGGCTCAGGATTTTTTTTTTTGCTTTAACCCCTGATCATGTATGTATGCATAGTTTAATACAGAAAGCCAATCACACAGAGTACATTTTTCATTTAAAAACACGAGATGCAGTGGGACGGGGGGGAAAAACCCACCATAAAGTCTCAGTATTGCCTCATCGTTAGTTTATATAAATAGTCATACTAAAGCCTGTTTTTTTTTCACTTAGTGTTAGTGAAAAAACTTACAGGTGCATCTCAATAAATTAGAATGTCGTGGAAAAGTTCATTTATTTTAAGTTGAGAAAAATTAAAACAGAATCCAGAAATATTTAAATGGAAAAAAACGGAATTTGGAAAGAAATAAAACGGAATATGGGAAAAAATAAAACAAATTTCATAGGGCCCTAATTAAGACAGTGGTTCTTAATCCTGCTCCTGGGGATCCTCCTCTCTGCACATTTTGTGTGTTTCTCTTATCTGACACACTCAGGCTGTATCCGAAATCGCCCCCTATACCCTTAAAGGGGTGGTCTACTGGCTTTTTTACATCCATTCTACATCCATTTTTAGTGGTGTCCGAAACCATTATCGAGTGCTCTCATTCAATCCCACAATGCACTGCAAAAACAAGTGTACAACCGATTTATACTCAACGGCTAGAGAGCGTCTCACCAGATGTCGCCTGCAGCTGAATCATCCATCCATTCATTCATTTTACAATGCGGTCGCCCATGGCTTAGTGCAGCGTAAAACAACACAGGTATAAATTTATTGTAAATTGATTATTAAATTGTTTAACTAGGGTTTATACATCATTTCCATTACATTGTTCAAGATAAATCCTAGCTGCCAGTTTCAAATTATTATTAAACAGCAAGCACAAACTATGCAAACATCTATTACCATTGCGAGTGCAATAGTAATAGATGTCCCTCTAGAAAATGCGTGAGATGATTATGAACAGAATATGTGTTCTGTGTGAACGCTTGGTTTCAGTTTTGATGTAAACAAGATCTTCTCTGCATTGATACTCTTTTTCAGCAAATATTTTTAATTAACAACACAGCAGCGCCGCATCCAGTGGGTGCAACTGGATAGGCTAACAAAAACATTATAATGCAATGACACTTACATCGTCATCGCATCTCGTGCACCACTGATAATTTTTTTTGACAGCCCTAGTTCAGCTTTTAATAACTTTTAATAAATTGATGTGAAATTGTATAAGTTCATGATTTTACTTAATTAGACATGCTTTTTGATTAATAAAATGTAATTTAACCATTAAAAATAAGTTGAGAAAAATTAAAACAGAATCCAGAAATATTTAAATGGAAAAAAACGGAATTTGGAAAGAAATAAAACGGAATATGGGAAAAAATAAAACAAATTTCATAGGGCCCTAATTAAGACAGTGGTTCTTAATCCTGCTCCTGGGGATCCTCCTCTCTGCACATTTTGTGTGTTTCTCTTATCTGACACACTCAGGCTGTATCCGAAATCGCCCCCTATACCCTTAAAGGGGTGGTCTACTGGCTTTTTTACATCCATTCTACATCCATTTTTAGTGGTGTCCGAAACCATTATCGAGTGCTCTCATTCAATCCCACAATGCACTGCAAAAACAAGTGTACAACCGATTTATACTCAACGGCTAGAGAGCGTCTCACCAGATGTCGCCTGCAGCTGAATCATCCATCCATTCATTCATTTTACAATGCGGTCGCCCATGGCTTAGTGCAGCGTAAAACAACACAGGTATAAATTTATTGTAAATTGATTATTAAATTGTTTAACTAGGGTTTATACATCATTTCCATTACATTGTTCAAGATAAATCCTAGCTGCCAGTTTCAAATTATTATTAAACAGCAAGCACAAACTATGCAAAAGCGGCAGTCCTTCCGGTGCACTCAGTGTCCAAATTCACTCGTTTTCATTCACTTCTTCAAGTGAACTGAATTACTGAACTAATGTAGGGAATAGTGAATGAGGGTATAGGAGGCAATTTCAGATACAGCCTTAGTTCAGTTCATAGAGCTCTCTCCTGACGAGCTGATGATCTGAATCAGGTGTGTTAAATAAGGGAGACTTGCAAAATGTGCAGAGCAGGGGTCCCCAAGATCAGGATTAAAAACCACTGCATTAAAACATTTGCAGCCACTTACTGACATTTTTTGTTTCTTATTTAGAGTATAATTTCATTATTCTTTTTTTCATATTTACATATTAATAAAAAAATCTGTTGTGTTGTGTTTTCACATGCTTAAACCCTTGTGTTTCTGTGTTGCTTTCTACAGATGGCAGGCCTCTGTATATCCTACGCCTAGGACATATGGACACTAAAGGACTGGTTCGAGCACTTGGAGAAGAATCCCTGCTCAGACATGTAAGAGATTCTATAATCCACATTTTCCATCATGCTCTCTGGTGTATTCCATTCATATGAATTCAAATGAATAGTGCAGAGTCTAACAGCATATATGAATTTTAAGGTGCTGTCAATCAATGAAGAGGGTCTGAGACGCTGTGAGGAGAACACCAAAGTCTTTGGTCGGCCAATTAGGTACTGACAGGACTAGCAGATTTTTCTTTTTTAACCATAAAGTGTAATATTATGAAGTAAAGTGATGTGTGGCCAAGTATGGTGACCCATACTCGGAATTTGTGCTCTGCATTTAACCCATCCAAGTGAACATGCACACCGTGAACACACACATTTACAGTATTTACAGTTAAAACACTCAATTGCATTTTGTCTGCAACAAGCCCTGTCATATTTTCTCATCCTATAGTTGTTGGACATGTCTTGTCGATCTTGAGGGGCTCAATATGAGGCATCTGTGGCGTCCTGGAGTCAAAGCTTTGCTGAGGATTATTGAGGTGGTGGAGGCCAATTACCCAGAGACCCTGGGCCGTCTACTCATCCTCAGAGCTCCCAGAGTCTTTCCTGTCCTGTGGACTCTGGTTAGAGACACCACTGTTTGCTTTTAAATTGATCTCCTCTGCTAAAATAAAGATGGGAATGGCATTTTAACATGACATGCCATATTCATTTGTTCAAGTTATTAACCCCCTTATATTCACAGTCCTTTATAAAAATTGCATGAAGTAACAACCTCTCATTTACAAAGTACATGAGTCACCCAGTTTAAACTCTTAGTAGCCTGATTTAACTTAAAGGAAGCATATTATGTATGTATCAACGGTGCTTTCCTTCTCTTATCTCTTTACAGGTGAGCCCTTTCATTGATGAGAATACACGAAAGAAGTTCCTGATCTATGCAGGAAATGACTACCAGGGCCCTGGCGGTCTTGTGGACTACATTGATAAAGAAATCATCCCTGACTTCCTTGGAGGAGAGTGTATGGTGTGTAATTGTATTTCCCCTATGTTTTGTGACTGAATGGTGTCTATTCACTTGCATAATAGTAAAGCTTGCTCCCAAGTAAGATGATCTGTATGCATGTATTCAAATTTGGATATTATGTGTCTCACCTTAGTATGGTTTTAGTGGCTTATTGAACTAAAGTTATGGCACTGTGAAATATGTGCAGTGTGAAGTGCCAGAGGGCGGCCTGGTTCCCAAGTCTCTGTACAGAACTGCAGAAGAACTGGAGAATGATGAGATCAGACTTTGGACGGAGACTATTTACCAAAGTGCCAGCATCTTCAAAGGAGCACCACATGAGGTCAGACTTGTGCATTAGAAACAAAATTATGCAGCACAAGTTTGGTTTTGTTTGGTGCATTTGCATAGTAGGAACACACAATATACATTTTATTTATTCACAAAAACTTGATTTCAGTCTGAGAAAACATAGGCCATAAGGTGAACTAGGAAAAAGTGGCTAGAAAGTGATTTTCGTTCCCACATCTGGGCACTACTTTTTCAATTAATTTTTGCATAGACAACAACCTTTTGGACTTTAGGTTAAAAGTTATCCACAAAATATCCCGCAGTTTTTTGTCACAATCCATAAATGAATATAATTGTGAATTTAAAAAAACTAAAATCTTATACTGCTGGTTTTGCTTGTAGCTTTATTTATATTCATTTTAGCAATGCAAAAATCTCTCAAACTGACATTTATACATGTACCTAAATATTTGAGACAAGAATTGGTGCATTAGTGTATTCAAGTGTGAATGCAGACCATGAAATATGGAAAATTCGTAGAAAAAACACTTCAACTTCACAGAATGTCACCAAGCATAATTAAAGATACACATTGTAAATTTAACAAATCTGTGATGTTTTATACATGAACATTTTCAGTAGGCACTGTGTAATCATAGAAAGATAAAAAAGAAGTACAATTTGGCCCAAGTTGGCAGAAATGACTCAAAACGCTACCCAAAAATGGACAACTCTACAATAAATTCATTACAGCTCAAAATCAGCCTAAACTATGACACAGCACATCTTTACTCATCAGTATCATCCCTATCACTCTCATCAGAGCTTCATCCTATGTGTGTCTTTCCTCTGTTTTCTGGGAAACATTTGCACAATATTGGCACTGACATTAAGGTGACCAGACATGTCACTTCTCGGGGACACCTATTTTGATGTCATAAAACGATCATTCTGCGCAGCGCAAACAACTAACACCTGGTTATTTTAGGCAATTTAGAAATCCTGTGCAGAACATGTCCCCGGGAAGTGGCACGTCTGGTCACCTTAACTGACATAAATCAGTACAACACTGTCTTGGAGACATACAGGAACATCTTTCAGTCTCACATTTGCCTTGCTTGCAACTGCAGTGTACTACCTGCAACACACTTTCAGGGGCAAGATTTCTAGTCATCCAGGTCACTGTCTCATTATGGCTGCTTTTTAGTTTGCCCTTTTGCAGTGTTGGTACAGGGCAGGGCTAGGCAACATCAGTCCTGGAGTGCCGATGTCCTGCAGAGTTTAGCTCCAACCCTGAAAAAAAAAAAAACTCACCTGCCTGTAGCCTTAGTAATCCTGAAGTCATTGATTAGCTTGTTCAGGTGTGTTTGATTAGGGTAGAGCTAAACTCTGCAGGACAGCGGCACTCCAGGACCGATGTTGCCTATCCCTGGTACAGGGCATCACTTGTCGGGGGCATGGATAGTTCTGGCAAAGCTGACGATGCCATGTAGCAAGGCTTTGTATCTTGCATCGTTCACAGTTTCAGCAGATGACTGGCCATACTAATGCCTCACATATTTGCTAAGTAGTTTAAAGGTCGACTGGTCCAGGGTAAAACTGCTACCCAGATTTGTAAATGCAGTCAGGTAATCCTTTTTATTTTGCCTTGGCCATAAAAGGCGCTTGTAGGGTCACAACCTGAGAAGGTATGGATCACTGTGAAAGTTAAAATGCACGGTGTATCAGCTTCTATGTGTTATAAAATATGATTTACTATCATTATTATGAAATCCATTGTTGTGAGAAAAAAAGCTGACTAAAAGCTGGCTAAAGTCATAGGGCCAGTTTTACTAAACATGGCAAGTTAGCGCGAGAGCGCAATTCCAAAAGAGCACCAATGGGCGTGGAAATTTCTGCGGGTGATTTACTAACAATGCGCAAATTAAAGAACACAGACGCAATATCTCATTTACATATCGACCAACGCAATATACCAAGCGCAGCACAAATTAGCGTAGTCGCAAATAAACAATAAAGAAATAAATAAGCCACAGTACGTTGAAAAGAGGCCAAAAAATTAAGGGTTGCAACAGGTTTGATAGACCTGGTATTGCGAGACTCCTAGTTGAGGGTTCCAAGTCGTCTTTTATTTCCTGAAGCAAATTAAAAATAACATGGCATGGCGAACTATATGTTCGGATAATGTGTTTTGGCATTCAAAATAAATTAATATGTGTGTAAAAATCTTCTCCCTTCTACTACGCGTTCTCTGCGGTGCCTCATCCTTGCAACAAATTGCATCCATTTCAAGCGCAAAATAGTTTAAGAAATGCTTTTTTTGGGCGTTAAATAATGCCTCAGATACCAGTAATTTTAACAAGCGCAAACGTTAGTAAAACGCATTTTGCGTGATTCATTTGAATACTCTCCTCCCATAAATTTTGCGTCTGAAAGGGAAACTCCTAGAAATGCATATTCAATAAGGTCAAGCCAAAAAATAACTGTGTCCATGCCTTTTCAGCGCCAATTCTTCACTGCACGTCTTTAATAAAACGTGACAGTACTATTTTAACGCCAAAAGACGGTTTGCGCTGGTGGAAGCTGTTAGTAAAACTGGCCCATAGTATTTAAATTACCTGTAATTTGAAGAATCAAGATCTTCACGTTTTTTTTTTCACAAGATTTAAAAAGATCCTTCTTAACTGCATCATTGTCAGCACCTCTTGGTTTACAGTGTTTCTATGGCAGATGATTCTCTCACAGAAGATCTTGTAGCTGGCATTGAAAGTTGGCTAATTTCTAAGAAAACACATTAAAAACTAAAGATATGTTATGTGCCGTAATTATTTCACAATGGCTTTTATTTTAAATATAGTATAAATAGTAGCAAATCAAAAGCAATTGACCAAGCGATTTAAGAAGCTTTTTTTTCTTCAGAAAGAAAATACATTGGTTATGAATTATTTCTATTTTCGGTAACACTTTACATTAAGGTTCCCTTTATAAAGTGTTTATAAAGGTGTTCATAAATGACTAACTCATTTACAAATGCATTATAAATCATTGATAAGCAGTTATAAATGCATGAATAAAAAGGGTGATTTTAATGCAATATCTGCCAAATAGTGAGCCATTTTTAACTCACATGTTATAAATGCTTAATAAATATATTTATTAATACTTATTTCACTCAAACTAGATTCTTGTTTTATTTAATGATGCAGCAAAAATTGACTTTTATAGTGAGACTGAAGGGTGTTGTATTTATGGTTCTCTCATTTACATCTCATGACTCATGTCGCTTTTTGTACAATGTTTCTACATTGTTTCTTACATGATGCCTATCCACAGCAATGATTAGAAACTGATATATTTTGTTTATCAAGATGAAATTATCAAACTTTATTTTGGGGTGGAAAAAAATCAATAATGAAAATGTTAATTCCAATATTAGTTACCTCTGAACCTTAATGTAAATAATTTATGAATGAGTTATAAACGTTAATAACTAGGGATGCACCGATACCACTTTTTCCAGTACTCGCCCGATACCGATACTTTTATTTTTGGTACTTGCCGATACCGATGCCGATATTTTTATTGCATTTGTACATTTTTTAAATATTGGGTACAGAAACCAAAAGGGTATGTATAATGTTAGTTGGTTAACTTCATTTATCAAATAGATACAGTCAAACCAAAATTTATTCAGACACCTTCAACATTTCTCACATTATCACAGTTTATTCGCTATAGTTTAGAAAATGGTAATAAAATATGACAAGAACTCAGAGTTAAACGGTGTCAGAACAAATTAATCTTGATAATGCTAGATAATTTTGATAGAAAGGTATGTAATAGATTACAATCAACCAAAATAATTCAGACAGCTGTTAGTATGACAGTATTTACACAACTATGAATACTTTGTCGGGCAACCCTTAGCCTTAATGACAGCCTGTAGTCTCCTGGGCATGCTGTCATCCAGCTTCATGCAAACCTCAACTTCAGTTTTTTTCCCAGACTCGGTCTGAATAATTTTTGGACCCAAATTTGTATCAATTTTACTGGTAGTCCACTGTATGAAGAATTTTTGGGTATGATTTGTCACAGTTTACTTTATTTTGCTATCCTCACTTACATAAATGAACTATAGTGTCCTGCACCCACTAGTAAAAAAATATCAAAAATTATATCTGGTCTCCTCTCTCTCTCTCTCTCTCTCTCTCTCTCTCTCTCTCTCTCTCTCTCTCTCTCTCTCTCTCTCTCTCTCTCTCTCTCTCTCTCTCTCTCTCTCTCTCCCTACCGTTAAGTAACTTGTGCATTGTTTTACTTACTTGTTTTTGACATATCCGACCGAACTACAAACTTTCCAGTGATGTCTGTGAGAAAGGGATATTCACTTGACAAGCTCGCGCATCTGCGCCGCCGCGCGCTCAATCCACTCAGCGTGCTTTGTTTATCAGCTCGCACACATCAGCTATACAGGCGTTAATACTGAATGTTTAACATTATATTCATTGCATACATATACTTCGTAGTAGACATCCATAACTCCTTTCTGCTGTCTGTTGTCAGTGATTCTTTGTTTGAATATGGCGCTTATCACATGCTGTGTGGTATCGGCGTTTGGTATCGGGGCATTTTAACGAGTACGAGTACGAGTACAGGAGGCCAGTATCGGGCCCGATACCGATACCAGTATCGGTATCGGTGCATCCCTATTAATAACCTCTGAAAGTGAACCTTAATGTAAAGGGAACGCCTGTGAACCATTTATGAATGAGTTATAAACGTTAATAACATCTAAAAGTCAACCTTATTGTAAAGTGAACATCTGTGAACCATTTGAGTTATAAACATTAATAACGTCTAAAATCAACCTTAATGTAATGTGAACACCTGTGAACCATTTATTAATGAATTATAAATGTTAATAACCTGTGAAAGTGAACCTTAATGTAATGTGAACACCTGTGAACCATTTATTAATGAGTTATAAACGTTAATAAACTGTGAAAGTGAACCTTAATGTAAAGTGAACACACTAATAACTTATTTATTATTAAT